ACTATAGAATGTGTTTTCTATCGATGGGTGTGTTATTGTTTTCCATTCTGTATATTAAATTATGTTACTGTAATATCATTTAAGAAAGTGATCAAAAAACGCAAAGTTATTTTTGCCGTATCATCTCCGTTCAGAGGAAGCTCTTTTTGAAACGGTACATAGTAGATTTGAAAAAAAAATACATTTGACATTCGAAATTTTTCCTTACGTCGAAAAAATTGGAAGAAATAAATAAATAATCATTTCATACGGGTAGTCAGTATTAAAAAGTTTTTATACTGATCATGAAATGAATGCCTTATTGAAACTCAAGAGGTGAGAAAATAAAATTGAAACTTAAAAATGTTAGCATAACTAATATTTTACCAATAGTCGATACACAAGTTACAAGGCCGTTTAAGAATGTTATGTTAGAAACGTCATATCATTTACATTAGGCTGGGTCTACATTTGATCATCTTGGTGATCAAATGTGGCATCGCGTCGTGCAGGCGTGGATTATGTTGACGCAAAATTATGCATGATCATGTGATACGTCATTGTGAACACCCCGCATCGGATACACATATCGTGGACGTATTTTGATACTGTAGCACTCACTGTAAGACGTTGTGTTACAACAACCGATGTGCCGCGTCCCATCTATAGTCGGTTTTCCCCGATCATCAATAGGGTACTACACGCTGCTACACGGTCTTGATAGCTTAGACGTGGAAAACTGGAAAAGATACGAGGATCAAAGAAAGACACACATTGCATACACATAAAAATATGAAAATTTCGATTTGAAAATAGAGATATGAAATTAATTTCTAAGCACAGTTCCATAACTTACCATGAGGTGAGCCGCATGCTCGTTTGCACCCTCTTCTATATAAAAAAGTTCACACTGCATAGATCCTCAGCTAAATTTCATTGAAATTGGAGACTTATCTTCAGAGTAAAGAGTTATAAAAATTTCATGATAACTATATAATATGCTATATACCTTTTTTTCGACACACAATTATACTTTTTTTAAACTTTCATTTATTATTAAGTAACATCGAAGGAAGAGGAGGTTCTATTTTCGTATTCAAATAATAAGAAAATGGGAGGGGTTATAATAGAATTAAAAATATTTGTAATTTAGAGGTTTTTAATGGGATAAGGGTGACTAGCGAGCACACAGTCCACCTGATCCTAACCTCGTTTGTGTATCAAAATGCAGATGCGTTGTCACCCGTGAGGACTAAGGTGGAATGCCTCTTTTCCAGTAAAAATGGTCTCCGGCTCTCTACACTCACAATACGACGAAACACAGCAGCATTAAGCTGCTATTTTACGCTGCTATTCTGTGAGAGCGTGATGCTTCCCCGGTTGAACCGACCCATTCGTGCTACAACTATACAATTAATATAGCTGCAGCATAACTCTATCACGATTAATTAAGTAAGTTTTCATGTTCCACGTTTCATTCTCGACTATTAATATTCGTGAATCAAATTAATCCCAAAGTAATCCTGGATGCAATCAAAACGCTATAATTGATTCAGTTTCAATAAATCCTTTTTACTTAAATGAAGCCTTTTATTTTAAACATCCAATAAAATTTTAATTATAAATTTTATTGATATTTTCATATAAATATGTAACTATTATGAATTATGAATTTCCGTAATTATTGGTTGTAAGTTTGATAAAAAAGTTAAAGTTACAGTTACAACATGCCCACCGCACTGCCTCAATGCGTTTTGGCGAACTTCACGTGTCTTCGAAATATTTTTTTTTTATAAATCAAAACATAATTTTGAAAAAAAAAATGAAACTCTTCATTGTAATTTTAAGTGTTGATTTACCACGTGCTCATTTGTGAAGGAAAACATCGTGAGGAAACTTGCAGCTCGGTGAACTAAGACTCAATACTCCTTAGCCCTCTCAGAAATGAGTGGAGGTCTGTGTTACTTTTTCCTTTTCGTAGACAATAAATATTTTTGCGTATTTTTAAACTATTTGCTGAGATTCATTTACATTGTAATTGGTTCAGCAAAGAGTATATTCTATTACATACACGAGTTTATAAGTATTTATTTTTATTTAAGAAAATATAGGTTCAGTCTTCTGAAGTTTTAGGCCTCGCCAAAGAGTATAGTAATATTTAGAAGATACCTTAGAACAATAGATAAGATTGTTTAGAACTTAGAGTACAAATAAGCAAGGTATTTATGCGCGCGTATCGCTCATTGCCCATTATGCTAAGTGTAACCAGATGTTCTATAGGTATTGATCCATAGTTAGACTGGTTGAACAGTGATGCGCCAAGATTGATGCCTATGCGTTATTGCACTTAAGTTATTAATTTTTTTATGTAAGTATTTATAAATATTAGGTTAGCGATAATTATAAAGTATGTTTAGCTCAAAAAAACACAGGTAAGAATTTATAAAACGATGTTTATTAATCAAACACATAAATCTAATTAATTTACTCCCCATTAAAAACCATATTAGGTAGAATTGTGGTCCTAATTCCTTGATCGCAGTTTTACGTACAAGATAATTCAATCTAATGTCAAAATATTGTTTAATGACACCATTTAAAAAAATCGTGAACATTTACACGTAATTGCGTAGGTACTTATATAAATAACTGTCGAAGCTAGTTTTTAATTTCTTTATAATAAGTATAATCTTACTTTAAATTTAATCGATACTTTATATTTAGTGTTTTAATACATCGATGTATATCGTCCATGAGTATCGCGTTTACTTCATTCCATTTACTTCGGCGCGCGAGTGCAAGAGGCCACCTTTTTTTTATTAAAACGTAAGTAATTACACTATTTTTAAAAGTTATTTGCTTGTATTTCTTCTCGAACCAAGTTTTATTCAATTTATAAATATAATATCATTTCAAATAAAGTGGTCAGAAGAAACTAAAAATGAAATGTAAAGTGTGAGTTATTACCATAAATCATGTAAAAAACACAAATTTTCATATTACACAAAGTCCAATGTGTGAAATTTACGTTTTATGTTATAATTTAGATATATCGAGAATATTACGGCGAAGTTGTTTACAACAAAAATAGTGTTGGTAAAAGTAGCGTAGTAAAGTATATACCTAAGATTGTTTTTTATTTATTTAGTAGATGTATTACGATATCGCTATAATCATATAATTTTATATTTCTTTTCTTTATGAAATTTCGAGTGTTTCTGTGTCCTTGTTTCTTTCTATAAAGTAAGTATTTGAGTGTAGTAATTTGGTATTTCATATTTTTATATGTAAATTTATGAACATTTTCCATAAAGTTTTTTCAAGCACTATGAAGACACAAAATATTCACGTGTGCGTACGTATATTTTCATAAAAATGGAGGAATATGACGAATTATGGCACAACTCGGACGATGAACATGGCAGCGACGGAGGGAGAGAAATGTTTTCATATAATGTTGTTATCGAGATATATCGATATTTATTTTTGAGTGTGGAATTTGTATCAACTATGATATAAGTATTTTAAAATGTTGCATTAATCGTCTAAACATTAAGCAAGAAAAGCAGCTACAAATGCATCCATGTGTTGTTGTGCATTGTATGTTTTTTCGTCGTCCAACCATACAGTAATAAAACTTTATAAGTCACGGTTATTTAAATATATCACTTTTCCAAGGCCTAAGCGCCTATTACGAGATCCACGGGATGGTATGGAGTCATACACCGCCACTACACGGTAATTCATAAGGTCGATAACGTCTTGCAATCGTCGTATCTTTAGCGCTCATTTGACCTTCATATAAATAAATCGATATTTTAATTGTTGATAATTTTTATTTTTGGATAAGTACATAGTAATGACTCTAAGTTATATTTCATCATCATTTAAAAAATTGTCTTTGGCCTGACCTACTCTTTGGTTTGACCATAGGTTTGATTATGTTGGTCCAATAAAATGTCGACGCCTGAGTGTTTAAAAGAATTTCTCATTATTTTGACAAACCCTTTATCATCTTAGATAACATGGGACACAAAACCTATTATATTATAGTCTATTCGCTTAGTCCCACCTTGGCACAGGCCGCATCTTGTCAATGGTACCGACAGGACATCAAAGGTCATCGCGTGCGGCGTACACCTGCAGGAGAATTTTGTATTTGAAAACGAAGCGCCGCAGTGAAAGGTTCTTTGCTATATAAATTGTTTATTATTTTTATTCGTATTTTATTACAATAACCATCTATTATAAGAGTAAAATAGAATACTATATTTATAATAGAATAGAAAAACATTTATATAACAAACACAATAAAAAATAATAAAATAAAAGCAAAATAATAAGTGTGCCTCCGAGAGTGCCGACACTATCTTTGTGGACAGACTATATACTGCACATTTTAAGTTATTTTTAGCAGGTTAGATATAACGAAATTGTATTTAAAATGTTTAGTAAGCACGGTCCACCTAATGATAAGTGAAATTCTGTGGACCACACACAATCGAATGCAGTATGCATCAGAAAGTCTTGTCTCCTAACCTCTAAGGGATATGAGAGTGCCTTATCAATAAAAAGGGTTTTTATGCTCTTTATATTCATATATTAATTTTATCTTCTCCAACTCAGCTGTGCTGTGCTAAAATTATTGTGCTAGGAGTGATTTACAACAATATTCGTGAATTGGAACAATATACGAAATTTTATGGAGAGACAAGGTAATGGGGAGCAGCTATACCAGTGCAAGGGTATATGCGTTTCTCTCACCAACTCGCCTGCTACAGCATTATTACATAATATGTTATTTTAAAATATTATTCAACTAGTTATAATAAAAAAGTCTGCAATAAGGAGCATAAAAATTAAACACACTTTTATTAACTTAAAAGAATAATAAGACAAACAGAAATCATTCATATTTCGCATAAATTATAAAATAACAAAGTTTTACACTAAGAAATAAAGCTAACAAAATATCAGGAAATTTGACTTTATCATACTTTTTTAATTATTGTTAATTTTCATTAATGTATTTTCTTTCCCCCAATATTTTCATGTTCTTTACGTACAATTTTTTTAAAATTTTCTTCAACATCTTTTAATGCATGTGGGTCTTCAAAATGGTGTACCCTTGTATGAATTTGTTTATCAGTTTTAGCTTTTAAATGAATTTCTTTTGTTCGCATTTCTAAAATACGCTCACGGCGAGTTTCTCTCTCAAAAGCTTGAGTAATTAATATTTTGTCGTGCTTATCAGGGATAATAAGGCTATCAGATAAAGCAGTTATATATAACACACCATCAAAATCACCCATAGCAACTAATTTGCCTTCTTCATGGATATTCATTTTCAATAATGATTTCTTTGAAATTGGTAAAGTAGCAATTGGAGTGTGATGCTTACGGAGTAAATCCCAGTATCTTAATTTTCCGTCCGATGAAACTGTCATGTAGCTCGAAAATCTATTAGGAGCCCAAGCTACGTCGGATATTAAGTTAAGATGATTAGTATTCGACAAGATTGGAGAAAAACTAAGATCTTCATTCCAAATTTTCACACTCCAATCTCCGCAAGTCATAAAAATCTTAGAAGTACACGGACTCCTATGTAAAGCTTTAACAGATCCATTATGCGCTTTGAAAATTGTACTCATTTTATCTTTATGAGTCCTACCCTTCCGATTTACATTAATAACAAGGCCCGTATCCGTGCCACATAAAAATTTTGTTGGAATAGATCGTTCATATTGAAGTACGCTTATGGGTTCTGCATTTGCCAAACTAACATCCGCATCTGAATGACGTCTTGAAGTAATAATCAGGGTATCAAGTGGCTCTTCAAGGTTTCGTGAATCCCACCACATGCATTTTCCGTCGGTTGAACCAGTAAAGAATTCAGTGTTAACACGCGAAAAAACATTTAAAAGTGCACTGACCGGTTCTCGGTGGGCTAAATGTGCTGGACTTATAAGTGTGGGTTTTTCCGTAACTCGGATATCAAAAATGCACACTCTTCCATCTTCAAGTCCTCCAATTATAATAGACGATTCTGTAGGGGAACTTGCTACTTGCCAACAAGCACTTGGAGGCTTAAATGTACAAAGTGGAACATTCATCTTTTCTAAATCCCACACAAAACCAACAATATTGAAATTATCGCTTCTAAGAATATTATATGTTTTATTACAATATGAAACCACAACTTTCGGATGTTCTTCATTTGTCCAATCTATGCTTGATATAGGACGATGATATATATCTCTGTAGATTCCGTTTACGCAAATGTTTGATTTCTCAACAGGCTTTTCTGAACGCATTTCCTTAAAATACATAGTATACATGTCAATAGCATTATTTTGTTTAATCATATGTTCAAACTTGGAGTAACTTCCAAGTATTGCATTTATATAGTTATCATCGCGTTCTATTCGACGTCTATATCGCGTGATTGCTTCTTCATCGGTTACATTTATATCTTTTGACCAACCTCCTTCCAAATGATTAATTCCTTGATCACGACGAAAAATCCTAGTAGTGTTAACAATTTTATCTTTTAAAGAAATTAATGTTTGTGTAAAACTATGAACTGGATTTCGCAGGCCATAAAGTTTTTGTTCTAAACAATCAGGTGATATTGAGTCAAGGATATGATTAGGAACTTCACAAAACATAGGCTGTTTCCCAAAATCTTTTCTGGGTTTGGAATACACATATTCAACTTTTTTATTCATTTTCTAATTATAACTACAGAATACTATTACTTTCTATTAAGAGATTTTATTAATCTTACAGATTAGAATTACAGAACTGTCAAATAAATATGTATATTCAAAATGTCAAAGAAAAGTAAAATCACATATTATCTGACATGTAGTATATACCTCTTTTAAATAATACCTCGTTTAAATAATGCTCAATTAATAAAACTACTCAGTACAAAAAATAATGCTGCATTAACTCTCCAAAATACTTCTGTGACAGCATCGAAAGCAGAGTTCACATAGTGCTCTAATACTTCGTTTAAATTGCATACAACGATTGACGTCAAAATAGTTACACCCTCAGCTTTTTTTGGCTTTCTATATATAGAATAGGGGTGACAAACGAGCACACAGTCCACCGGATGGTAAGTGGATGCTGTAGTCCATGGACATCTACATCTATCCTCGATTAAGAATCAAAATAGAGATGCGTTCCTACACTTAAAAACTAAGATGTAATGCCTCGTTTCTAGTAAAAGGTATTCGTTTCTCTACACTCACCATACGAAACACAGCAGCATTATCCTGCTATTTTACGCTGGTGTTCAGAGGTTACGTGGTCCTACCGTGGTCGAGTCGACCCATTCGTGCTACAACCATAATAAAGCTGTAGCATGGCTCTACCACGTTCAACTAAAAACCATAATTCTAAAAACTATAATATTTAAGTCGTTGCTTCGTTTGTATTATGATAATAGGGTATTAGACCCATTTTCAAAAAGTATTTTAAATGAATCCTAGAGTGATAATGAACCACTATAATTTTTATATAAAATTTTTAAAACCGAATAGTGCCATAAAAATTACTTTTAATCTATCGTTTAAAATTTTCGCGTGTAACGCTAGCCACCATACCATACTGTTCAACTCGTGACGTCACTGTCCTAGAATTTTGACAATTTTGCAAAGGAATAAGATATTTTTCAATGTTTAATAATGAGTTATCATTTATATCATTGTTGTGTTGTGCCTGATTGCAAAAATACGAGCATAAAAACGCCGGGAAAGTTATGGATTAAAGTGCCAACTAATTTAAATATGAGAAATACTTGGTTAAAACTGGCAAGAAGAGACCCAAAGGCATTGTCTACAAAATCTAAACTATACTTCTGTGAAGATCACTTTGATGTAAGTATGAATTATATTTAACTATCGATTAAACAAAACAAAACATTATGACATGATAGGTACCTATTGCAAGTCAAATTTTGTAATAGATTAGGTTAATCGCTCGTCTGTCCCACACTTTGTGGGCCATTTTGATAGCCCTTGCAAGTGCAGTGCAGTGTTTTATTTAAGGCGGAAGCTCCAGGGTGGCCCGTGATATTCAAATTTTCTTACTTTTTTTGGACTTTGCAGGTCAGGGTCGTAACGAGTATGTGTTTACAAAATTATTATCATTAAAATCACCAATACATCCCTTCAAGTTCATATAATTCCTTTGAATGAGTTTTTCTTTAAATAGACATTACAATAGAATTATTAGAACTTAGGGGGTTGTATTGATTATTATAATGATTATGAATCTGTAAATACATACTCGTCACGGTCGTGAATCATATTTCATTAAACATACAACCTGACACTAACCTACAAATTGCAAAAACCGTAAGAATTTTTTTATTTCGCGGGCCACCCTGGAGCTTTCACCTTAATTCCTGTTTTCTTCTATTACATGGGAATAAAGACATGGTTTGTACTCAGACCAAATAAAAAAGTGACTTTTTATTTCGTCTGAGGGATTGTACAAAAAAATATAACAAAAAGTTTTTCTCACCTAAGCTTATACTTTAATATCTATAACATTAGTGCTAAAAGCGAAGTAATAAACTCGCTTTTACGAATTCGTCTTTCATGATGCCTTTTCAATAAAATTCGGAATAAAAGTCAACAATCCTAATGATTACTTGAAAAGTTTTGAAATCAGCTAGTTAGTATACAGCACATAAGCTAATTCTTTGACCTAGTGACGTCACGAAGCTATCTAATATGGCGGACATCGTTTCGAAGATTTGAGGCACAGGTAAAAAAAATCTTTAAATTGAAATATAAAATTTATAATGCATTTTTATAAATAGAAATCAATATTTCTTGTTTACTTATTACAAAATCTATCATAAATATACACACACAAACACTCACGCCTGTCACCCAGAGGGGTAGGCAGAGATTATGGACTTCCATTTGGCACGATCCTGACACACCTCTCTCGCTTCCTCCACATCCATATACCTACGCATACACGCTCGTCGGTTAAAGGTACTCTTGATTTGGCCCATTTTTAATATATCGCCAATTTGGTCGATAAACTTTCGCCTAGGGCGACATTCCCGACTATGCCGTTCAACTCTGCAACATAAATTTGCTTTGTCACTCTTTCCTCATTCATTCTTTCTACATGGCCAAACCACCGAAGCATTCCTTTCTTAATCCTGGTCACAACATCATCTTGCAAACCACACTCTTCTCTTATTAAACAATTTCTCACTCTGTCATTCAGCTTCATCCCTAACATACTCCTTAATGACCGCATTTCTACAGCATTTATTCTACTCTCATGCTTCTTCTGCCACACCCAACTTTCACTACCATACATTAAAGTAGGCACTAACACAGCATTGTGAATTGCCATACGTGCCTTTTTGGACACATTCTGACTTTTCACAATAGAGTGTAGAGCCCCATTCACTCTATTTCCTGCATTCACTCGTCGTTCTATATCCTTATCATATCTACCATCCCTGCTAAACACACATCCCAAATATACAAACTCATCTACTTGCTCTACCAACACCCCTTCTATTCTTATTTCACATATCGTTTTACTTTATTCTCTTTCAAAAACCATAACTTTCGTCTTACATGCGTTCACTTTCATTCCCTTTTCTTTTAATGTCCTGTTCATTAATGTAACCATCATTTGCAACTCGGCTGCCGACGACGCAAGTATGACTTGATCATCGGCGTACAAAAGGCATTTGACGGTTAACTCACCCATTCTTAACCCGCATTCTTCTACTTTCAAATTTTCCAAACAACTGTCCATAAATAGGTTGAACAACCACGGGGAAGCCACACGGCCCTGTCTGACACCTTTATGGATGTCAAACCAGTCCGAGTAGGCCCCGTTGATCCTGACATAAGCACTAGAGTCCCTATATAGATACTTCAATGCCTGTATCAGACCAGCGCTCAACCCAAATGAGTTCAGTGTTTGCCATAACACATCCCTGTCCACTCTGTCATAAGCCTTCTCCAAGTCCATGAACGCACAAAAAACTTTTTGGTTTTTGGCCAAAAACTTCTCGGCGATCATGCGTATGGAAAAGACCTGATCCGTAAATCCCATTCCCTTTCTAAATCCCGCTTGCACATCCCAAATTTTTCCGTCAATTTCTTTCATAACTCTTTCAATTAGTACCTTAGCATACAGTTTTCCCACAATGCTAAGAAGGCTGATACCACGGTAGTTTTTACAGTCCTGCTGTGATCCTTTTCCCTTATATATTGGGACTATCACGGCTTTGCACCAGTCTCCCGGTACCCGCTTAAGTTCCCAACATAAATTAAACAAGGTGTACAGCAGGTCTGCCACCAGTCCTTCTCCAGCCCTTAGCATTTCGAGAGATACTCTATCATAACCGGCTGCCTTACCTGCTTTCATACTTTTCATTGCTTTCATTATTTCATCTATACTTATATCTCTATCTATTTCCTCTTCTTTCGGAATTTCTATTTCATTTAATTCAAACGTCTAATCACTCATAAACACGCTTTTAAAGTATTCCTTCCATCTCCTTAAACTCAAAACTTCGTCATTCAGAATACAGCCATTCTGGTCTCGTATAGCATTCATTCTAGGCTGTTGTGAATGTCCCCTGGTAGTTCTTACGAGTTTCCAGAACATTTTAATGTTTGCCTGGAAGTTATCCGATATTCTTCTATCATTCTTATCCGTTCTTTCTTGCTTTTTCCTTTCAACTACTTCTTTTACTCTCTTATTTAGGTGTCTAAAAACTGCCTTTTTCCTTTCAATATCATCACTTTCATATTCATATTCATACTGCTAGAATTACTAGCCTTGGTTGCTAGTAAATCTAGCCATGCTTTCTTCTTTGCTTCAACTTCCATCTGTACCTCATCATCCCACCATAACGTGTTATTTTTCCTTTCATTCGTTCTCTTACTTACACCACATACTTCTGTAGCTGCATCCACTAAACCTTTCTTGACATTATACCACACAGTCTCCAAGTCTAAATCATTCATACACAATTCAGCCATACCACTTATATTTTCTCTCAATCTACATTTGAACTTCTCTTTCACACCTTCATCTTGTAACCTCTCTGTTCTTATACGCTGTAACGCTGTGGTAGACACAGATGTCCGATGCCTCCAACGTCTGAAAAGACCATTAATTCGGCATAAGACCAAGTAATGATCCGTCCCTACGTTAGAGCCCCGGTAAACCCTTGTATCTACCACCGCGCTTCTCATTCTTTTATCAACAATTATGAAATTTATCATACTTCTATCATCATCATCATCATCATCATCATAAATATATATTCTTTGATTTTTTTACATGGTGTAAAATACCCTATTCACAATTAAAACAGGGCGCATGTGCAATTTGCGTGTTTAAAGGCAACCTACTATCATAATTATCTATGGCAGTGGCTGAGCAATAGAGCAGTATGTAAATATCCACTTACACTCCTTTTTGTGGGGAAGTCGAAGAAGGTGCACTGAGTAGCGCACTCTCTTTCTTAGACTTCCGCACGAAAAACCGATAAAACTAGGAGCGTACGGCAGCGGGAGCAGCACCGACAGAGGCAGGAGAAATTACCTATTTATATACCCGCGCTCCCCACTTCTAAGCTGAATGTAAATGAGGCACAATACATAAGAAGGCAGGAAGATTTCAGGACGTCAAACAAAAGTAGTAATTCTGAGGCCAAAAATTT